AAGAAGGAACTGAGTTTGCACTAAGCCCAGGAGGTGAGCCTGGTAATTATATGATTAATACAATAACTTTCCCCATTGATTGCATATTAATAAACTTGTTTTTAGAGTACTTTACGTGTATTCATTTCTCCCACAGTATTTTACCTTTATTTCCATCCAAGTGACTTGATACCAAAATTACCATACTCACGTGCCTAGACCCTCGACCATGCTACCAAAGAATAGGTGACGGAACTGAGTAAGAGTAAGAACTAAGAGAAGTAAGTAAGATGAGGGAGGTGTAGAAACAGAGAGGGAACCGGCCCCCTCACATTGGTGGCAGGCCTAAAACCCGCCCCCTCACACCAGGACAACAGGGGTGCCAGGCCGTCACCATTAGACAATGTATTATGCTTCCAATATCTTCCCAGGCGGTAGTAGCCCCCTAGTTGGTAGCTGCCTACTACCTATTACCAGTTGGTATGAGGGACCTCATGTGGTCATGGAGACACTGGGTCTTGTGGTGTTCAAGTGGTGCATTAACCCGTCCTCCGGTGTTGATTTGAAGGACCTCACGTGGTCATGGAGACTCCAGGTGGTGTGGGGTAGTGTCACAGTATCTCACTCTCTTCTAAGTGGTGTTGTGTTATCTCATGGTTAGGTGTAAGGCCGACCCACGGTTGTTGCAAGAGTGGACTGATTAAAACTATACCACTTGGTCAGAAGATGATGGTTGGTTACCCAGGGGCGCTTATCTCTGGGTGTGGACCTCACTGAAAATTCACGGCTCTCGCTGGTACTGTGTAATGCTGAGTTCACTGGCTTAAACACTGTCCATCACTGTTCAACGCTGACCCCACGCCTTTCCGAAACGAAATTGTCAATTTGGGCTGAATTTTGTTGACATCCAGGTGGGGAGGAGAGGTTGGGGGTAGGGGGTTGAGAGAGTGGGCCAACATTGGTCAGGGCAGCCGAATAGGAAGTTTTTTTGTTGTTTTTTTCGTGTGTGTGTGTGTGTAAATGACTATAAATTAGTATTCTTTCATGCACACAAACCTTCGCCTGGTGTGACTCATGGTGGTTGGGCAGGTGGTGAGGCCTTGTTCCTTGTCACTCAGCAGGTGATAGGTTACTCCACCCCTTTAACAGTGTGATAGTACATGGAAGACCTGTTCTACAGTTGTCAAGAAGACCCACCAGTGGTTCATTTATTTATTGCAAAGTGTATCAAGGAGAACCCAATCCTTTTCTCCGAGTAGAAATCGAACCCTGGACCTTTTGCTCGAAGTGAATTACGAATTCATATATTTTATTTCATTTTATTATTATTATTATTATTATTATTATTATTATTATTATTATTATTATTATTATTATTATTATTATTACTATTATTATTATTATTATTTTTATTATTATCATTATTATTATTGATCTTCTCCAACACTTTTTGTCTGGGTCTTCATTAATTCATAGTTTAGAATAAATTTATAAAACTTTGAACATTAAATGTGCATATACATGAAGGTGTTTTGCAAATAATTTGGTTGAGCATAAATGTATAGTAAGAGTGAAACATATTTATGTTCAATATGTCTTTTTGCTTCTCTTTTTTCTCATTAATAGAAGAAGCAATTTATACTTAAGATTATAAAAACAAGGACGAATGGCAACATGCATCGGTAAACAACAACAACAAAATAGAGGAGCTAATGATGTACTAAACAGGAGATTGGAAAGAAATAAAGGCATTGAAAATAAAAGATTAAAGACCGAAAGACGAAATTAAACAGAAGTAAGTGGTCAGCAGCTGTTATTATTGTACAGCACGTGACTGACCAGCGGAGTGTGTCCTGGCTACTGGATCTTAAGGATACTTACCTTGTATCACCATCCTCTCTTTTTCCCTCGTTTATCACACGTTCCTTGAGTACATTCCTCGTGATTTACTGCTGCAAGATGAAGGAGTGAATGCGTGAACCCTGTTCCCAGCATCTTAGATTATTGCTCTTGAGTCTTGCGTCTGTCCTCGTTAATTTCGATGTGCAAAATGTAAACAAAACACTTAGGATAGTTGGCAACATAGACACAACCAACATACGCAAGGACCTTACAGCCTGCCTTAACGATGATCTTAACGCAACATCATCACCACCCCAGAACAAACTCTTCGGTGTTTGACTCAAGTCATCATCCAGACACTTACCTTGTGGGGTACGGGTTATTTGGGTTCACACTCAGGATGGGATGGAGAAAGGAAACTCACAATGTGCTCTCTGTATACATGTTGTATTGGATGTACAATGCAGCTTGGTGCTGGGAAGTGCCAGCGTGGTTACAAGCGTGATGTAGAGAGAGCTGGTTGGTGAGGATGCTCAGAGGAGGACAGCTTGTGGGTCGCCATGCTCGCCGGCGGGAGCGAGGGCCGCCAGGCAGCGGCGGAGGAGGAGGTGTAGCTTGCTGCGGCTGTAGCTAGAAGAAGAGGGTGGTCACCATGAGGTCAGGTCTTAAATAGCGGGGGTAGGCGTGGCTTAGTAGTTGACCTCCGTGATGTATGGCGGCGCTGGTTGACCGAGACCACGAGGCATACACTGGGAATTCGCGGGGTCGGCTACTCAGCGACAAACAGCGTTTGTAGGAGAGAAATCCACTACAATACTCCCCCCTTCCCTCCAGGTGGTGTAGGAGACTTGTTGTCTGCAGGGTTGCATGGCACATGTGAGGCAGAACGGCGAGGGCGTGGATGAGCGGGCCGCTACAGGAGACAACTGTCTAGATACACAATATCTGTAGAAGTAGAGAGGGAGAAAAAGGGTGTGTGGAGGCGATGAATGTTGTTCTTCCCTCACGGCAGGTACAGAGTCGTCAGATGCGCCTGCTGGGGTGTGTTGGCCTGGGACAGGAGCAGGGGCTGCGACAGCAGAAGCGGATGAGGGCTCGTGACAACAGCTGGGTCCACGACAGCAGCAGGGTGCAGGACAGTAGCAGGGAGTACCTGAGGGAGGAAAGAGGGGTGTGTTGGTCCGCACTCAGGCGCATGGGCCGCGTCGGGAGCAGGGGCTGCATCAGGAGGAGCGGCAGGGGGTACTGCTGGGCCGGGGGCGGCGTCTGAGGCAGGACGGGTGTGCTGGGGTCGGTAGGACGTGGTGCTTGGGGCAGGAAGAGGAGCTGGTGTCTGCTTAGAGAAGCAGTGGTGCTCTAGGGTGTCTAACCTGCGGCTTAGAGACAGTAGCTGTAGAGCCGATGAGAGCTGCTTCTGGGTGGATAAGCCAGTCTTCCATGTTGCTTGAAGACTGGGAGCGTGATCTGTTTCTCCTCCATCCTGTGTGAGTGCGAATCTCCGGGGGTCACCATTTGTGGGGTATGGGATGTTTGGGTTCACACTCAGGATGGGATGGAGAAAGGAAACTCACAATGTGCTCTCTGTATACATGTTGTATTGGATGTACAATGCAGCTTGGTGCTGGGAAGTGGCAGCGTGGTTACAAGCGTGATGTAGAGAGAGCTGTTTGGTGAGGATGCTCAGAGAAGGACAGGTTGTGGGTCGCCATGCTCGCCGGCGGGAGCCAGGGCCGCCAGGCAGCGGTGGAGGAGGTGGTGTTGCTTGCTGCGGCTGTAGCTAGAAGAAGAGGGTGGTCACCACGAGGTCAGGTCTTAAATAGCGGGGGTAGGCGTGGCTTAGTAGTTGACCTCCGTGATGTATGGCGGCGCTGGTTGACCCAGACCACGAGGCATACACTGGGGAATTCGCGGGGTCGGCTACTCAGCGACAAACAGCGTTTGTAGGGGAGAAATCCACTACAACATCGCTCCTCATTTCAACCACTTCATTCCACATTTTATGTCGCCCTTGTTACATATATTGTCTGCTTTCCCTTGCCTCACCACCCGTCAAGGATGTTGCATATATAGCATGTTGAACACTAAGCTTTCAGTATACAACCAGAAATGTGGGCGGTACAACGCTCGGCCACCTTTACTTTCACAGCTTGATGGACGGACAGTGCCCAAGGCGCATAACATCAACCCTTGGACCAAATGGGTTATGCTGTATCCACACGACCGCAGCACACCATACCCAATTACCCTTCTACTTGTAAAAGATTTCGTATCCATGTGCAAGCTTTTCATACTCTCAGCTATACCATTCCTTCTTTTCATTATCCTGGCAACACACAAATCAATGCATAGAAATATAACCCATTTATGCCAAGTAAGTATTGGTCAAAGTCCTACCCTTAGTCTTATTGAGTCATGAAATTTATTGCAAACAAAAGATTTGTTTCATCGCCTTGAAATACATAACTGCGACTCACACAAGTACAATGTTTCCCAACAGAAGTGTGTCCTCTCCCAGGACCTTGTTCCTACTCCAGGTAGTTGTGGTGAATATGTAGTATCTATTCCTTTAAATATATTGGTGTATTTTAGGGAAGCCTTAATTCACACCTTCCTCCATTGCCGATCAGTTGTGAACAACTAACACCATTTTACATTAATTAAATAGTGAATTAGTACTGAAATTAATATGCATAATCAACAATTTGAGATGTCATAGTTGTCCAGTAAACATAAACAATGTTATGATACCGTCAGTAGTGTTCACGGGAATCTTTTTTCTGCCTCGCCTCACCCTGTACAGTCCTGTATATGCCCATTTCCCTACTGGTTCCATGAATCGCATATCTCTCAGCCAGAGCGTAGACTCTAGAATATACTTGAGATATTGATTTTGACATTGATATTGAAACAGTTTATTTAGCCAGAAGAATACAGATACAGAGTCGTTAAAAATCGTAACATTAACATGGCTGAGCCACTTGAGAGCCTAAGCTCTCTTGTAGGCACTTGATATGTACAGTATACTGTACATTTATCTCACGAAGTATTATGTAACATTTAGTATCATCTGGAATAGTACACATAACATGGTGGTAATAAGAACATATCAGACTGTTACCACGGTTATCACTTCGATATTTATCTTTTATTTATTTATATTATTTTTTTTACATTTATATTATAATAATACACATACTTTACAGTGGAGTTGATAGACATAAATATGATAAGGGAGGGAAGCAGTACAACATGGGTTGTATTAAAGTGGAACAAAAGGACAGAGCTGTCAATATCATGTCTAATTGACAAATATATTTATTGCAATGGTAATTTCTATCTATCTACATGATAATTTCTGATAAAACGGTTTTGGCGGTACAATAAAAGCAGGAATATAAAGTTCGTATTACACAATAACTTAATACTTAGACAATAGATATTTTTTAATTAAGACGTATTGAACTTGGTAATGTTAGGTGACTTGCCCCGGATGCCTCTCCCCAGTTGTACTTTTACCACATGAGCCACCAGGAGAAAGGCATACGGAAGTAAAAAGCAATGGCTCTGCGACTTAAGGTTGAATCACTGACAGTTTTTACCTGGAGTGAAGGTAGGAGAAAGTGAGAGTGGATAAGCAGGGGTGGTGGCGGAGGTAAGCCAGTGGCGAGGAAGTCACTTTCTATCATAAAAGCTCCCTAGTTTGCTACTGTACCATTCTTCACAGTAGTGTTGCATATTATGTTCACCGCACACTTGGAGGGAAGCGCTCAGGGCGTGTGATAGAGTATTCTTTTCTTTTCTTTTCTTTTCTTTTTAATTATTTACATGTTACAAAAATATATACACACATTCCAAAGTAAATTAGGAAAATAAATGACTTGTTGAAAATTATGACGATACTCGTTTTAAAAAATAATTCTATCATAAAGATGAATTTACTCGGTTTGGTAGGATGAAGAACTAAATGTTATGAATGGTGGCATAGATGAAAGACTAGAAACTCTTAGTTGTCAAAAAGTTCATCTGTTGTGTCCTCTCTGGTTAGATCCTCCTGTGTGAAGTCTTCAAGACTCAGGTCAAGAACAAAACCTCGGCCAGGTCTGCCGAAAGGAGTCAGTCTCTGCTGAGTCCTTTGAGTTGATGTTCGTCTTAGGGTTGAGAGTTGCCTCCTGCCCCCGCGGATGACCTCTTGGGAAAAATCTTCATTCGTGTGGTCTTCTCGGGTGTCATCGAACATTCGGCCAAACCTTCGTGGGGACGTGCCTGCCCTGCCCATTGGAAGGCTGGGGTTCACACGTCTTGACACACCCGTGGTGGTCAAGGCCGCAGCCACGCGGCTCCCTAAAAAGTGCTCCGGGGAATCGCCCCTGTCGTCCTCACGGGATGTATCAGCCACGAATGGGATGTTATCAAGCTGAGGTTGATGCTGTGAATAGAAGAGGAGAGAAACGTCTTACTAAAGCAACACTGTTCTGTCAACAAGGAAAAACTATAAATTCTCCTGAGGGGAGAGTCAGTCAGCTACAATATTAAAGTGTCCCATCTCTTGCATGTTACCCGAGAGCCATGTGGCGGTGTTGTGTACACTCTGCAAAAAATGTATCTTTTAGGAGGGGTCCGATGAATTTGAAACTGAACATTCCTGTTGTCTCGCTAGGGTTGGTAGGCGTGATTGTGAGACATTTCCTACATATTATGGTAGGCCTAATTTAGTTACGTCATTCGATATATAAAATTAGTGAGTTTCAATATGATTGGTGAATAACAGTATGCCTCATGGGCTTTTATCAAAAACATTCGATCGTGGCTTCACACAAGAATATTGTGATAGTGTGTGTGTGTGTGTGTGTGTGTGTGTGTGTGTGTGTGTGTGTGTGTGTGTGTGTGTGTGCGTGTGTGTGTGTGTGTGTGATGTTATTCATCGTAATGTCTCATTCAGGTTGTTGTTGTCACGCCTGTTGGTTGATGGTTTAAAAAAGAATATAGATTGACAGTTGTGCTGCAACCCCCTCAGGCGACCACCCAACTGAAAACACCCCAACTTGCCAATCTACAAGCGGCATTCACAGAAGAACAAATAAAACAGATGATCACCATTATGATAGTGACTTTCTCTAAAGAAACAAGATACCAGCACCGAAAAAATAATAAATGCTGTTATGACACAGCTCACAGAAAAGATGCAGGAAGACCAGACCCCCAAAACTCCACAACTACAAGTGGAACAGACGACGCCCTTGAGTCAGATATCAGACAAGAACAACTTACCATCCGAGAGATCACTCAAAACCGTGAAACCTCAAGCCCCTTGCAACAGATCACGAGGAATAGAACAACAAGCACAGACCGTCAGCAAACACACAATCACAAGCAAGAGCGACAGCACCCTGAAGAGAGAAGAAAAAACTCCCGAGATACCTCCCAAAACAAACGGAATTCCACCTCCTGCTCCTCCCTTAGAGCAGGTGCCCAAGAAACAGCTACCATTCCTAACGGACGAGGAATTGAACACCGAGAGCAACTACAGCACCAGCGACGATGAGATAATGATAGAATAGCCCCACCTCCTTGTCATCTCAAGATAACACAGTGGAATGTACAAGGCCTGTCCAACAAACGGCGTACTGTACAAGCAGCAGCCATAGCTAAAAAATATTGATGTCTTCATTCTGCAAGAGACCCTGATGTCCAAAGATAAACAATGCCGCTTGCCTGGATACCAACAGTACTCTGTACCAAAGGGGCCCAACTCCCATGGCAGCATAATTCTCGTCATGGCGACCATCCCCAGTTCAGAAGTAGAACCAGTTCACTGTGGAGATGGAGTAGAGGCACAAGCTGTTCGGATACAGCTGGCAAACGACAGTCTTGTAGTATATAATATCTATAAACCGCCACCCAAACGACTAGAAGCCGGTGAACTACTAACACAAGCAACACAGGAACTTGTGCTCATTGCTGGGGACTTCAATGCCCACCATCCAACGATCAATTCGACCACAAGAATGAGCCAGGTTGGTCATCATCTAGTGGAACTGCTGACAGATGTTCCAGAAATAACGCTCATTAATACTGGGGAACCAACACACATACTGGGAGGAACATTGGACCTCACATTCATCTCCACTGAGCTCGTTCCAGTAGCTCAGTGGAGATAGATGATGAACTGACTAGTGACCACTTTGCAACAACAACTACTTTGAGGGTGGAGCTACTCCCTCCTCCCCCACGTCCGCCACCCAGATGGAATAGCAAGAAAGCAAATTGGAAACTATATCAAGATCAACTCCAAAAATGGTATTCGAACTATGAACCAGCAGAAGATATTGATCAACTGAACCAGGACCTTACTGATGCCATACAACACGCAGCAGAGAAAGCAATACCAAAAACAAACCCTACAAATAGACACCACAGAGACTACTGGTTCTACGATGAAGAAGTCAGAGAACAGAATCATAGAATCAACACATTCAGAAGACATCTCCGACAATACCCTTCCCCTGAGGGAGTGAAACTCTTGAGAGCTGCTGTCCAACATGCTCGTCAAATTACTCAGAAAATTTGGGAAGACAAATGGCTCGAGTGGTGTGCACACACCAGTCTGAGTGAACTCTGAAGAAAACTCAGGATAGCAACTGGAAAACTGCCCAGAGCTCCAGCCCACCCCCAGCCACTACAGGAAGCAAATCGCTTGGCAGAGCAGTTTACAGAACACTCGTCATCAGCTTAACTACCTCCTGAAATAAGACTTCATCTACAGCAAGTACAACTGGAGAGAGAAGTAGTAGTCAGACATGCAATTGAACAAACTGACACTACAGACTGTCTGTTTACTATAGAAGAAATCAGAAGGGCCAGGAAAACAAGCAAAGACACCGCCCCTGGCAGTGATGGTATAACCTATTCATTGCTCAGCAATGCAGGACTTGCTCTCCTAACAGTTATCAACGCATCATGGTCAGCAGGAAACTCCCGTCAGCTTGGAAAAATGCAAACATTGTTCCCATTCCCAAGCCCAATGATCCCCAGAATTTCAGACCAATATCACTAACAGCATGCATCGGCAAAATCGCCGAAAGGATGGTCCTTACACGACTCCTCTGGAAAACTAGACCACTTCACCACAATATCTTTGGATTCACCAAAGGTCTCAGCACTGCACACAGTTTGGCCACTCACCTGGGATTGATTGGTCAAAATAAGGCAATCGTAGTATTCCTTGTTGTAGAGAAAGCATTTGAGCTGGCAAATGCGCAGGCCATTGTAACCACTCTGGCCCGGAAAGGCGTCAAGGGATGCCTACTGGCTTGGATTGCTGACTATCCCCAAAACAGAACAGCAAGAGTTACCTGTCAAGGACAAGTCTCAGATCACCAAAGACTGGAAAATGGCACACCACAAGGAGGAGTTCTTAGTCCAACTCTCTTCAACATCCTCATGGAAAACTTGTGTCGGCTCCCCTTTCAAGTGGGTACCAAACTGCTATGCTATGCTGACGACTTAGCACTGATAGTAAAAGGCAGAAACCAAATCAGCAAAGTCCAAAGAGCACTAAACCTCATCAGTGAAGAATGTATGGGTCTCGGGCTCAAGATATCAATCCCAAAATCGAAAGCCATGAGGATTGGGCACAATGAGCCGGTGACACAACAATACAAGGTATTGCCCTACAATGGGTCAATGTATACAAATACCTGGGCATCTGGATTGACAAAAGCCTCAAATTTGACAATGAGATAAACTATCTAAGAGACCGAATAGGCAAGAGAGTTAACATGATGAGAGCCATGACAGGACCCAAGGTGGGTGCGGGACATGTATTCCTAAGAACGCTATATATACACGCCATTCGATCATTAACAGACTATGCGACACCGGCTCTTAACACACTGTCTGAGTGGCAGTGGGCGAAATTGGAGGTTGCCCAGAATAGCGCTTTGAGAGCCATTGTCAAGGCACCTATGTAGACAAAAATTTAAAACTTACACATGGAGACAGGTCTCACATCTCTCCAAACCAGAGCGGAACGATTAACAGCGTGCTTTGCAACAAAACTGATTACCAGGGCTAGGGAAAGTGACATCAAGAAAGGACTCTTACGAGCACTGAACCTTAACAGAAATGTCTTTAACAAGAAAACATGGCTATTGTGCGAAACTGACGCTGTAAATCGACTGAAATTGAAAGACACAATCCTCAACAAAGGACCTGATACAATGAGTCCAGACTACAGCACCCCAGCACCGTGGGAGTCCCCGCCAGCAGTCTTCAACATTCTACAAACTGGGACAAGAAAGGCCGACTCTAACCCACATGCGCTCCGACAGGTAGCAGAGAGAAACATGAAGGTTCTAACACCCCACAATAGTACAGTGTATTACACAGACGGTTCCGTAGAGCCCACCAGTACGAAGGCAAGAGCAGCCTTCACTATAGGAGGTAACACGTCCCTTTGGAGAACCTCATATGGATGCTCTACTTTGCAAGTTGATCTAGCTACCATACATGGTGTCCTAAGACACGCTTCCATAAACAGTCAACAAGGCGTTGTAATACACACTGGCTCACGATGTGCTATTGAAGCACTACAATGCAGAGACCCTAGGGACAACATTCATCTCATAACATCGGTTGTTGGCCTACTGCAAGGGTTAAAACTACAAGATCGGCAAGTTATCATTAACTGGGTGCCCAGTCATATCGGAATCCCAGGGAATGAACGAGCTGATGCTGCTGCCAAGGCTGCGTTAGGACAGCGAAACACTGAGATGAACATCCCGCCCAGTCAGGAGCAGATAAAGAAGACCACAATAACACGTACTGCCTAGTGGAAAATAAACAAACATAGAAAATTAACACCAGTATCACGATCGGCCAGGTGGTACTATCTGGTCACGAATTATGAGAGACCACCACTCATGAAGGATATAACAAGAAGGGAAGACGTCAACTTCCACCGACTGAGACTGGGATACCCATGCAGTTGGGAAATCATTGTACAAGTACCAGCAGAGCAGCGCATGTGCAAGACCTGCTACAGCGGAGCCGAAAACACACTGCAGGACTACCTCATAGAGTGCACTGGAACACAATTAGCGAGGAGAAACATACAACCTCCTATCACAGCAGAAAAAGGTTGCCAAAATGCTAACCACCAACCACTCTCAAGAAACCCTACAGTTTCTTAACGCGCATCCACCTCCACGCTAGTGGTGGAGATGTACAGTTAACTAAAAAGATGCTGGTGTTTTATCCCAGCAGTGGGTGGACCAGCATTTTAGCTTAAGGTCCGCGTAGGTATTATTCCCACAAATCTATAAAAAAACAAAAAACAAAAAAAAGTATGAATGTTTGTCAAGAAGAATCCCTGCGCAATTATAGGCCGCAACGACCAAAATTGAGAATATGACACAATTTAGGATG